GACTTCAGACTTATCATCCTATACTGATGTGACTTTTAGTTTTCATGAGTAAGGTGAATTTACCAATAAAAAGTTACTTAAACTGCTAGCTTTTTAAAACTTAACTAAATTGTTGTTGTTATTGTTTTTAACCTAGACAGTCTAAAGACAGTAAAATAGGCTCCCATTTTGCTTGGGACGAGTCAATTCATCTTTCTGAAATTGTTTCTTGTTTTCTGAAATAGGAAATTTGGGATAGGCGATCTTTAGGGTCCCTTCCCAATGTTCGTATTATATATCATGTGCACTTCTTATAGAAGTATTTTATGGGGGTCATTCTCATAAAAACCAAATTTAAAGCCTCCTTAAACAGCAACATAGTCCAAGCAATTTTAAGATTTTTTTAAATGACACAAAGAACAAAATCTTACATGGACTCATATTCTAATTGCTAGACAAATTCTATTTTCAGTCTTAAAATAGGCAAAAAAATTTACAATTTTGTTTCCATTTCAGAAAGATTCCAAACTAAGCAATAAGCAAAACAGAACATTCTCAAAAGGGAACACTTCGTGACTTTGTGTGTTGAACTTTGAGAACACCGTATGAACAATGAAAGGCTGCACCTTTGTTCAGGTTGGATTCAGAAAGTCTAAGGGAGTGGGCAAAGGACTCAGTCTGAGGGGGTACTTTAACCATAAATTTTCACCCAGCAGTAGTCATCAAGTCAGTGAAACAAGGGGCAACCTTCATGTTTTAAAAATGTAATAAAATAAGTTATAATAAAATTTATCAGAGTGTATTTCAGAATGCAGCAATATGAGACAATTGGGCTAGTTACTGAGATACTATTGTTGGTCTCATAGCAGAGACTATGCAAGTGACACTTCTATTGGCTTTAAGGAGCTGGTGCCTCACCAAGTTCAGCTTCTTAGAAGCACTTGAGGAAGGCTGGAAGGCTGCAAGAGGAAGATGGTACATGCTCCCTTCTGTTTTGCTTCTAGTTCTTGTCATCACTTTCATCCCTTGCCCCCACATCCACCCAGCAGGCATCTTCACTCCAGCAGCAGCAGTTCATTCCAGTGGCAGCAGCTGGTCAGTGTCCCCTTTGTCAGAAGTCTTCTCTGGCTCCGTGGCTCTTCCTTTGAGCCTGCAGGTTCTGTAATCCCGTGGTCCTCAGTGGCAGTAACTTCCTGCTATTACTACCTCCACTATGCCTCAGTGCAGCGCTAATGGGTGAGGAGCAATCCTTGAAAGGTCTGTTAAAGGTCCACAACAACATAATGATCTAACACCAGAGGTAAATTAACTAGATGACTAAGCACATTGCGTTCAGCTAATTTTTCTTCATCGGTAGACTTTCTCAAAAATCAGTAGCTGCTTTACATTCAGGTGCAAGCTTCTTATCTCATTGCAGACTGGCAGTAAACAGCAGATCAATTTACTCTGAGAAACACAGGCTTCGTGGTTCCCTCTGGTTAATGATTCTTTATATTACAGTCACTCCTAAAATTAACTACTGTGGTTTCTATCTCCTGTGAACCCCTGACTGATATTGAAATTAGACATAGGTATATCTTCAGTAACGTTTCTTTTACAGAAATGCAAGTGAGCAAAATAAATTAGGATGCAAAATGTACCATATGGGATGGGCGTGGTGGCTCATATCTTATAATCTCAGCATTTTGAAAGGCCAAGGCGGGCAGACTACCTGAGATCAGGAGTTCGAGACCAGCCTGGCCAATGTGGTAAAACCTGTCTAAAATACAAAAATTAGCTGAGCATGGTGGCACACGGCTGTAATCCTCGCTACTTGGGAGGCTGAGGCACAAGAAGTGCTTGAACCCAGGAGGGGGAGGTTACAGTGAGCCAAGATCGTGCCACTGCACTCCAGCCTGGGTGACAGAGAGAGACTCTGTCTCAAAAAAAAAAAAGCAAAAAAAAAAAAAAAAAAAAACCACATGGTCAGACAGCTGGAAGTAAGTTAGCCTAACATGTAGATTATTAGGAAAAATCGAATCTAGGAAAATGTGTTAATTTGTACGTATACACTGTCTGCTAAAACTTCAGAGCACCTTAAGTATTTGTAGGTCTTCTTTAACAAAAGTATTTGACTCTGCCAGTTATAATTATGAGCAGACCCTCTTGTTTAAAGCAATTACAGGAACAAACTATTAAGTCAGGCTTACTTTCAGTGTTTTATATATTTCCTGCGAACACAGCAGTAGCTTTACTGAATAGTTTACTAACATGTCTGTAAGGTCAATGTTTTCTAGTGTCTACTTCCCTATTTTTTTAGGGTAGGATGGATACTTATTAAACCACCCTAGAAAATGTGACACAACAGGCTCATTTGACCTACAGCCAGAAGAAAACTGGTCAGTGCACTTTTCTAACAGCACATGTAATCATCTACATTTTTTATTCTAGAAGTAAAGGCAGCAGCAGCCTCTCATATCTTAAAATGGATCCACTACACTGTTATTATGAGAATTTTCCTACTGTACTTCTGGAAGAATCTGAACACAAAGACAAATTTATGCTGTATTGATAGAACTATATGTTTCTTATTTTCTAACATTTAAGGTATTATACAAATTTGAATTACCTTATTTTGATTATTTCTGATGCTGCATCCCTAATATTTTTCTCTCAGTTTAGATGGGCAAGTAGGTTGTCCAGTCCAAGAAAGTTAATACAAATATTTTAAAAATATACATTAAAAGAAGCATTTAAAGTTCTATAAATAAACAATAATGATTTGGCTAGGTCAAGTCTGCTAACCAGAGAAGAAAGTCACTTGGAAATCATGCTGAGGTTAGGGCAGTTAGGGCAGGCTGGCCAACCAGAGAGAGCTCTATAAGAAAGAGGAGCATGTGTTTCATGTCAGGTTCAGCCTTGAATAAACTGTGTGACCTTTCGAATGCCACCTACCCTATTCTGGATTTCTGCCTCCTCAGCTGTGAAATGAGAGGGTTGGACAAGATAGCTTATGAAGTCCTCCAAAGCTATTTCAGTCAGATGAATTCTATGTACACATTTCTACTTCACATTATGATTAAGACTTATACACAGCTCATCGAAAATTGCGGGCTACTTGGAGGGAATTAAAGAAAGAAACCCCCACACAAATTAATTCAACAAGAAGAACAATGTCTAGTTCTTCTTTCCTTTTTTTTTAAATTGTTATAACCAGAAGCAGTTGAAAGGAAATTGGCACAGAACTGGTCTGGTTTAAGAAAAAATAATTTCCATGGAAACATTCTACTGACAGTTCCTCTTCCTGCTTTATGCGGACCCACTGAGGACTGGTTGATACAAATTATTCTCATTCCATTCAGTTTGTTTAGGGACAGAGTGAACCAGAGTAAAGTGTCAAAGTGTTTCTTGTTCTGATGACAGATAACCACACTGCTGTATGAGAGCTAAAGAGACTGTATCCAGCAGGCCAAGAGGAAAAGGGCAAAAAAGTGCTCATATTATCTTTCCTTTCTCACCATCAAAGCCCCTCACCAACAGAACCAGGCATGAATCCAAACCTTGACCTTAGTTAAGAACTTGACCTTCCTATGAAGCACACCTCTGACACATCAGCTAAAATTCCATCCAAAGCTATCTCCTCTTCCAAGGTAGTCAAGTTACAAGCACAAAAGCTCTACGGCCATTCTGGTTTTTTCTAGGTAAGTAAATTTGAAAACTGGAACTGTAGAATTCCAAAATAAGCAGTTTAAACTATGTTTATTTACTCCAGTTGAGAATTTCTTCATACACAGAAACCCCACAGAGTAAAACTCATCTTTTTAAATTGATTCGAATGGCCTCTGGCCATACGGTCTTATTAAGTGAAAATAAGTGCAGTTACCAAAGGAAAAGACTATAAGTAAAAAAAATCCTCTAGAAAAATATGATAATGGGAAACAACCACTATTTATAATAGAATTCACCACAGGCAGACAATATCTGGTAAACCAGATTTAAAAATTTTAAATGTATTTAAAATTTCCATGTCAATATTTAAGATTAATAAAGCATAATATTTGGTGCATTATTAATTTTAGGAAAAAAAATCTGTAATAAATAAAGGTAACACTGATATTACTTTGGAGGCTAATACTACAGAGAATTTAAAAAAATAATTCCCTGGCCAGGTGCAGTGGCTCATGCCTGTAATCCCAGCACTTTGGGAGGCTGAGGTGGGTGGATCACAAGGTCAGGAGATCAAGACCATCCTGCCCAACATGGTGAAACCTCCTCTTTACTAAAATACAAAAAAACTAGCTGTGTGTGGTGGTATGTGCCAGTAGTCCTAGCTACTTGGGTGGCTAAGGCAGGGGAATCACTTGAACCCGGGAGGCAGAGGTTGCAGTGAGCCGAGATCGCACCATTGTACTCCAGCCTGGGCAACAGAGCAAGACTCTATCTCAAACAAATAATAATTATTCCTCATGTTATGCCAAATCACTATTGTTAATATGTGTATGACTATGAGAAGATAGGTCTTCATTAGATTTAAGGAGACTAATCTGATAGTAGTTCCAGTAAAACCTGAAATGACTTGGAAAAAGACTATAGCAGCCACAAAGAATTACTTTCATAGATTCAGGTGCCTCCGTTCATGCGGGATTATAGTAAACGCAATAGCAGGAGAAAAAAAGTCCATGAAAGAAACTATAAGAAATATATATATAGTTATTTCTACTGGTGAAGAGTATAGTGATAATACACACTGCAAAAATTCATGTTCTCAAATTGTGTGATGTGGAAACACTAACTTTTTTCAAAGCATCAGGCAGATTTTATAAGCTTCCTGTACCAAAAAAGTAATAAATTATCCACTGGAGTAAATGTGGGACTTAGCAACATCCAAAATATTTTTGTAAGTCAAATGAAAATGCACAAATAATTCTTATGAAGCCTGTTATGATTATCTAAAATATTGTTAGTCACCTACTTAAAAAAAAAAAAAAAGATGGGATATAGACTTACATAACAATTACATAAAATATTTTGAGAGATCCTACCTTTTTCAGGAATCTGACTCCATAGGTAAATACATAAAGGTAAAATGAAAATCTCCACCTGTAGAGGATTAAAAAAAATTCTGTGACATTCAGTCTCTATATTCACAGCATATACTCAAATACGTAAGGGAGGGAAGAGAGTTCCTTAAACTAAATTTGCCCCCTCCCACAACTAGGGATTAAACTTAACGAGTAATTTCAGTGCTAGCTGAACCCATACACTGGTAAACATGGCTTAAATATTTTGAGTATTATATTCATAACTTGATTTTTATTGTTAATTGCAATATTTGCCCAATCACTCATTTTCTCATTCTCTAACATGTGAACTTCTTGTTTATCACTCATGAAGGGACATGGCTCAATAATATGAAGGTGTAATATCTGAATCAGACAAATAATAGAAAACTAACAACTTGAGTTAACTGAAGTTCATATTTGTTTTAAAAAATGTTGCTAAAGGAAGACATATAGACTCTAAAAAAATCAAATGACAACTATAAATGACAATCTTAAACCATGCCAAACTTATGGTCTAGCTGTGACTTTCACTTTTAATGAAGAAAAATTTTTAAGTTTCCTTTTGATTTTAAATGATGGAAATGTTTTAAGTCTTTTAAAATATAAGATGTGTGTGTGTGTGTGTGTGCATGTGCATACACACTTATTACAAAAAACTCTTACTCTAGTACTAAATACTCAATTTTATTTCTTGTACTTTCTATGAATAGCTGTGCCTTGGCTGAATGCCACTAAATGGCATTCCTGATGTCATAAAAAAATATCCTTGTAAGTAAAGACAATTAACTTATTGTAGTATCAAAGTAAAAAACTTAATTTTAACTCCATCTCTATTACCAGCCTCTCAGTGGTTATGGGTGAGAGTGATGACAAGTTTCTGTTGGTTATACAAATTCTAGATCAGAAATTAAAACCAGGGATGTATTCATGGGCGTGTAACTTAGGCAGTCACATAAGACTTCATACTTGATTTAATGCTTTGCTGTTGCCATCTTGAAATTCTTAATAGTTGTTGGACAAGAAACTCAGCATTTTATTTTGCACTGGATTCTGCAAATTATGTACCCAGTTCTGGTCAAGACAGACTCAGCTAAGTTTAGGCAAATCTGTTAATATCCTTTGACCTCAGTTCCATCTCTATAATGGGAGAGTGGGTTTGTGCTCTAATGACGCCTGAAGGATTTGGTAGCACAAGTATTATCTCTACTTTTTTCTAGTCCCTCCCAATCCTTCTTGTATGGAACTAGCCTACTTCATGCATTTGCCTTATTTGTCTGGCCCCTGGAGGCAACTGAATTTCCAACTCTGAGATTAAATTATTTATAACAGCTGTTTCAGGTCTAAGACTCTTGTTAGTAGGCAGTGATCAGGCAGTTTTTATGTATAATAAAAGTTTTAAGAAGTCATTGGAATTCCTACCATCACTTATGTATCTACATTTTATTTCATCACAAAAATGACCCAGTTTTCATAACACATAGATTCTATTACAGGAACACTGATGCCTGCATCATTTGAATAGCAACTTGTGATGAATATTTACAAGGCAGAGTTTATTTCCACAAAATATCTGAAGAAAGCAAAATTTTCAAGCATCTTGCGACTTGAAAAAGTACTTCTTTAAGTTGTGGAGTTTCATATGTTATAGTTTTAAATGCTAGCTACCAGTCCCTGATATTCCCTGCCAAACTTTTACTAAGATACCTGTAAAACAGATAAATAATAAAGTTCATGTCACCATGAAAAGAAAGATATGACCTTCAACCTACTGCTAGAATCAGGCACGAATTCTTATAACAGAAAAAGAATAAAATTAGATGTAAAAAACCTGATTTGCAGTGAAAAGTCACAACCCTTGAAAGGGATAGGGAAATCTTCATCTGCATATCACCCTGTCTCCACTTTCTGCCATCTTGTATAGAAATGCAAAAATCTGTATCATTAAGAAACTTAGTCCTTTGTCACAAATGATTACGTTTTTGGAGGCAGCAAGAGAATCCCTCACCCCATAAGTTAGTGATGGCTACTTTCAAATGCCAGCCAGGAAGAAGGAGATGCATTGTGCAACCTGGCAGTTTCAGCGACAGAAAGGCAAATTTAGGGACAACATGACCTATGAAGGTATTGCATTTTAGAGGCTGGAGTTCTTACATAATCCATATATAAATTAACAAAGAACAAGGCATTGGAGATAGCTGCTTTATATGAAACTCTTTCACTGAAAATGGGTCCACTGAAAATGGGTCCGAGTCTATAGACATCAACCTGCTACAAGGTCAGTGATCTAAAAGTGGACTTTTACTAACAAACAGGAGAACAGAGAGCGGGGCTGAGTGCAATCTACATATCCCCTCTGTGAGCAGGTCTAGATGAGTAACTCTTAATTCTGGAATGAAAATAACAGCGCAATGTCAGCATGGGTCTACTAAGTAGTAATAAATGTGAAAAGAAAAGGGCATGTCAAAGATTCAAAGGAAGAACAGTTTTCTGAAAATGACTTCACAGAGGAATCATAAGTAATTCTTAGGAAAGTTTTAGGCATTGTCCATATAATACAAGAAGATATGACCCCTAGAAACAAAACAAAGTCAATAAAAGACTGCTGGGTAAGATAAAGAGATTATAGGTGAAATAAAGTAGCATTGCACAGAGTCTGCAAAATGAAGTGCAGCATTATTACCCACTGGAGGGGGAACATAGACACATACTGTATAAAATTAAGTCATTTACATAGAGGGTAAACACCCCTGTAAGGCCAGAGAAAAGTACCAACGATGAAAAAAGATCCTAGATCTGGAAGAGCAGAAAACATATCTAATTATAGTTGTTTCTCAGGAAATGCAAAAACTGAAATAGAATAATCAAAGACAAAAAGACTAAAAAAATGTCAACTGAAAAAAAAAAAAGACAACTAAATTGTATTCCAAACAATATCAAATCAAAGCAATATTCTGACTGAAATGTCGAATCCTAGGTTTAAAGTTAAAAAAAAAAAAGTACTTCAGTGTTGAAGCACAAAAACAAGTCAACACACATAAATCAAATGAAAACAAATCACCATCAAAGGAACAAATACCCAGTTGGTCTTAGAGTTCTCTGCTGTATTATTAAATGTCAAAAGAAAGGGAAGACTCAATCAAAGATAGCTATTGCCAGGCAAACTGCCTCTCATTTGCAGAGGAATATATGAACCGTATTCTCATATATTCAGACGCTCTGATAATATATTATTCATTAACCTTTATGAAAAAATTACTTAAGCCAACTCTAGCCCACCAATATACAAACAAAAAATAAGATTTCAGAAGTGTAATTCTAGCATAAGACTATCGTTAGCAACATAAATCATTGCCCTAAATTTCACTGCCAATTTAAATGCTCTTGTTATTAAGGGATAATTTAATACAAAATATTTAGCAACAATAATCAAGGGATGAATTCTCAGATTAACGAAAGCAAGGAAAGGAAGCATTAAATTCATTCTTACAGGAAAATTTCAAAAGACTTCTTTTGATAAAAGAAATATACTAAGACTGTTTCTTTAAAAACTTAAAAGATTACTCTTGGTTAAACAAGGTAAATTAAACACATCAATTTACCTCTGTGCCTTTATGAATGTACCACTAAAAGAGCAAAGAGGGATTTTGTTCAGTAAAGCATAAACTCCCAAAGACACAAAACTCAAGTGAGGACAACCACCCTGTTTTAGGGCTGACAGCTGAAGGGAAGGAATAGCAGGTTAGTCAGTAGAACCGGGAGCCAAATCCTTAACTATCTGTGGAGGATGCTCAGAAGGACCACCAATTCTGACAGACACCAAATAAGGAAACAACTTTGTAAGACCAGTATTAGAAAAAGAAGCCTAGGGATTAGCCTGTCCAAAGCCACACACTTGGTAAGTGGAAAAACCGGGACACAAACCTAGCAGTGACTCTAAAGCCCTCTCTCAAATTCTACAGAATTGGGGCACACTGCTTTGCCTAGAGACGTCAATGTGTTCCACTACATTTGCTTGGATATGGAAGCCTTTTATATCTTTCAAACCTGAAAGTTAGAATAGGAAGCTAGTAAAAACTACCACCCACTGAATCTGGTTTATTGTCCTTATGCAACAAGGTTGAACTGGGCTCTTTGTTAAAATCAAGACTACTAAAATGTGCATGTGAAGCAGAAAATCAGAGCATTTAGGTCTCATGTCTTATTGCCAGGTGTCACCCAAAAAGCAAGGGATTATAAACTACAGAAGCTGCAGAAGCAGGGGAATCATCCAGAGCAGCCCCCACTCAACTCAGCACCTGTTTTAGGGAGACCAGGGCAGGTATATGAGGGCCATTTTATTTACAACTTTTATGTAGTGCTTCCTCTATCCCCTGAGTTCTTCTAAGCACTTTACGAATAGGAAGTCATTTAATGAAACTATTCCGCATAACAAGGTAGGCACTATTATCAACATCTTTATTTTTATTTTTTCCTGATGAGGAAATGAGCACAGAGTGGGTTTAATTACTTGCTGAAGGCCACACAGCTAATAAGAGAGAAAGTCGGGATTAGAAATTAGACTGTTTGGTTCCAGCATCCAAACTCTTAACCATTAAGCTTTCAGCTTCTTCCTGATTTTATACCTAAAAATTGAAGACAATGTATTCAACTAAAATGGTATTTCTAACCTGCTGGATATTAGTGGATGCTGCATAATTGAGAATAGGCTCTACCCTGATGAACAGCAACTGACTGCTTGCAAACCTGGGGATAGGAGAGGGCTGAAAAGACACTCATTTTCAATACCGGGGTAGCTAAAATATTATTAAGCTTATTAACAGTTATTACCATCTGGGTAATAACTCTATAATAATAATTTCTCTGTCCTACTCACTCATCTCTCTACCTGCTGAGACACTATGGCTCCTTCAGGATTTATGTCAAATTCCAGCTGCTCCATAAAGCCACCCTTTCTGGATGCTGCAACATGGAAAACACTGTAATTCTGACTTGTTCTTTACCTCTTTTCCTTCTCTTTGATACCCACAAGCCTTTGAA